TCTGCTTCAGCAGTTTCCGCTTAATGTGGAGGACATCTGAGCTGGCACCGCTAGCGATGAATCTCCACTTTTTTTCCTCATGGGATCCAAAAGGCCACCCACTGTTTCTTCTTGTTTCCTCTTAGATTTCACTGTCTTTTTTCAGTTGCAGAGGCTCTTGGGGTAAGGGCCCTAGGAAAGAAGCCAAGCTAATGGGGTGCTGGGGGTGCTCAGCGCTTCCCCACAGTCCAGCCCATGGCGAGTTCTGCTTGCTGGGCGGGGGAGTGGTGCTGAAGGCAGCAGAGTGGAGAGGGAGAGAGCCAGCTAGCTTTCCCTGTCCCTGCGCTGGCAGGATTCGGCTGCGAGGGGTGGTGTGCGTGCTCGGCAGCCGGGAGTCTCTGGGGAAGGTATTGGTGATAGGCAAAGTAAACGGACCTAGTCGAGGACGGCCTGACGCTTGAACTTTGTCAAACAGAAATACAGGCATGTTGACAACATCATGTTTGAGAACCACACAATTGCAGATCGCTTCCTAGACTTCTGGCGGAAGACAGGAAACCAACATCTTGGGTATCTGTATGGCCGGTACACAGAGCACAAAGACATTCCTCTGGGGATCCGGGCGGAGGTCGCTGCCATCTATGAACCCCCACAGGTAAAAGCTGAGTGTCGTGGCGTCAGTGTCGATTCATAAAGATTAATCGGGGAACATGGAAACACTTTTTTGTTTGGGAAACCTCATGCGGTATTTCTGACTGCAGCTCCACAAAGAAAACGGTCCCGTGAAAAAGAAGATCATGCGATTTATGTCTTTAATGTCACTGTCAGTTATTGCCATTGAAAGAATTTTAAAACCCAGATTTGCTTTTTGTTATTTTTACACTTTCTTTTACATTAGTCTGTGCTCAGATGATTTAAAGCTAGAGAGACTTCATAACAGTGGATTTCATTTTACATGTTTCCTTGGTCACTGGATTTCCAAGGTTAAGGTATGGAAGAGCTTAAAAACAAATTCTGTACTGGGGAAAAAAAGTTGCAGCCCTTGCTTCAATTTCTTATCAGGTCTCCAAGAAAATTTAAGCAGCTTAATTAGACAAAAATGAAGTCTGCTGCCTTGATCGAGAGGCCTAGGATGAGATTCGATGCCTCGGAGCAGCCAGCAGTCCCCACTAGATGGTGCACGGTGCCGCGCCCGGCACCGCTGAGTCCTCCCGGGAGGCTGCAGCCAGAGCGGGTCCCGCCAAGCCTGGCCTCCCAGGCAACCCAAAACCTGAATTCGGCGTTGGGAGAGCTGAAAAGGGGGATGGAAAAGCCACTCTGCCCACAACACAAGGCTCAGCTCAAAGCTGAGTTTGCCTACTGGCTTCTTCACCGCTGACTAAAGTCACTTTTCTACGTGCAAAGACTATGTATACAAACATGTCGCGGTGGGTCATATGTTTTCTTCCTCTTGATGATTTCTGCAGGGTTTCTAGAGTAAAATGTGACCGATTTGTCAGTGGAAAAAGAACAAATGGCTCTTCAGGAGTGTGTGTGTGTGAAAGCAGAATTGCAAACCTTTTATAAGTTCTTCCCTTGCTTTCCAATATGAGCAGAGCTGTGCCCTCTATTGTTTCAGCATCACTGTTAAGCCCCTGCTTTGCAAGTTCATATGCTTCTAGTTGTGCGCGGTAAAAGCAAGGAAGCTTTTGCTCTCCTGGCAAGCAGTCTCTGCTGTGCCTCTTGACACGGCATCTTCCCACACGAGAAAGCTTGCTTCTGAAACGCACCCAGATGGAGTCGTGTTTTCCAGAGCATGGGGGGAAGGCCTGGGCGTGGGCTATTGGATTCACTGGATTTCTGCCTCTCTGCTGCTCTGAGGCTCAACTGCCTCTCTGCTGCTTAAAGATTCAAACGAACGAAATGGTGGTACAAAACTGGCAGGTGGAACACAGAGCTCTGGAAAAAATTATATAATCTCTCGCCTTTTCTGAAGTGCTCAGAAACAGCAACAGCCTGTTTGTAAATGCTGAGTCTTTCATTCATAAACCTCGACGTAGTTTGCAAACTTGGCTGAAGAGCTCTGACAGGATGGGTCTGTGAATAGAGGTCATCTCTGGGGTGAAACCGGTCAGTGGTAATGCCAAAGGGGAAACCCAGACCTCTGCTTCCATCCTCTGCCTCACTCCTGACAATGGCTAAGCGTACTATGTTTTTTCCTGTCCTGTCTTACTAGCGAGTGTTTCTTTGCTGCAGATTGGTACACAGAACAGCCTGGAGATCCTGGAAGATCCAAAAGCTGAGGTTGTGGATGAGATCGCTGCAAAGCTTGGACTGAGAAAGGTTAGGATGTTGTCGCATCTCATGCGTTTTTGTATGGCAATGAAGTCAATCCTCGGCAGTTCTCTTCAGCTCCGTGGGGTTATCCAAGACCATTTGGGCATACCTGAAAGCTAGCTTAAGTGTTGGGAGTTCTTGTGCTTTTGGGTACGAAAAGCAAAATGAGAGCATTTTCCTGAGCGCAAGCATCTAGCAGGGCTGTGCAGCTGAAGTCAGCAGTCCTCTGTCATGAATGACATCAAAGGGAGTAGCAAAGAAGCAGAAACACGATTTTCCCTTTATTTCTCCTCAGATAGGAGCCGTTCCTGGTAGCATCTCCTCGGTGAGTGCTAATCTGGCACAGATGTAGCTGGAGTTGCTTTCCAAGTTTGTTCTTCCTTTTGACAGAATCGGTGTCCCACTTCCAGGAGCAGAGGCTCCTGCTTGTTTTTTATTCTCTGTGAGGTCCTGCCTCTTGGTGCTGCTCAGGCAGGCTGCGACAAGTTAATCTCTATATTGGTTTAGAGGTGCAGATCCCCCAGCAGCTGAGCCTCAGTCCTCTGTTCCTCTTGTGCCCACAGCCTGACAGTTATCCAACCAGAACGTATGGTTTTGGGATCCACTGGTTTGCTGACATCTCTCAAACGTGTACTGGTATTTTTCCGGTTTGGGAAATCTTTTGGTATCGTGTGAATGCCAGGAATGAGATGTACACAAACAAGATTTGACTTGCTAAAGAAAACCCAAATCAGAAAAGACTCAGTACAGTAGACTATAAACATCTGTGGTGAGGTCTTTTGTTCTCTGAAGATAAGATCTTTAGCCTTTTGCCAGTGTCTGAAGCAAAGCTCCTGTGCGTGTTATTTATTTCCATGCTTTTCCTTTGCTTCTCACATCAGATATTTTTAATCAATATGACTTAACACACAACTTACTGCTGGTTGCAGATTTTTTGTCTGTCTGGACTCTGCTAGGAATCTGAATCAGCACTTCTTCCTCTGAAGGGTTAACGCTGTGGGAGCTGGTCACGAGGGGGCTGAGCCGAGCTGTTTTTAGCCACGTGTGTGTAGAAGGGTTCACGCAGCGGTGTGTGTGTACACATCTATACTCCTGTGTGCAAACAATGCTTTTTTTTTGGATCGGAGCAGACTCTGATTTGGAATGAATCATACTCCAGTGGGAACATATGAGTTTTATCTTAAATAGTGACTGCGAGCTTCAAAATGAGATCATGTGAGCTGCTTTGTCATCTGCTGGCGCTCCCGATGCTGCTTTGCTCTGAATGCTCAATAGGAAATGCTTTTTGCTGTGGGTGGGAGGAGGCAGCGGCCGAGAGGCCTCTTGCAGCCTCCAGATCTTTCCATGAAAAAATATTCCATAGTGAAACATAAAGCTGCAGGTGCCCCCGGCCAGCCAGCTGGCATGCTGCTCCTGGAAATCGGATTCAAATGAGCCCGGCACAGCTGGGAGAGCCATTTCCTTCAGGCAGCGTACAGCAGGGCCGTGCGAAGAGCCAAGAACATCTTGTCCTGCTAGGAGAAAATGTATAAGCTCTCTTTGGGTTTTTTGTTTTGTTTTGTTTTTTTCTTAGAGCAGCTTTCTCCATAACACTTCTTTATAGGTTGGCTGGATATTTACTGATCTGGTCTCTGAAGACACACGAAAAGGGACTGTTCGATACAGCAGAAACAAGGTGAGATTCAAGTGTGCAGCTAATTACAGCTGCTGGTACTGAGGGTTCGTGTAATCGCATAAACGCTGGCTACGCCAAGCAGAGTACTGAGCCAGGGCAGCGCAGGGCTGGAGGTGACGCTGGGACTGGAATTCTTGTGAAATGTGTTTTTTCAGAAGCTTCTGAAGGAAAAGGAGCTTGAGCTCAAAGAGCACTGCTAGGGGTTGGAAGCTGTTTGGATAGCATGCAAAGCTGCTTGCAGTCCTTCACCCACTCTGCTTTAAGAAAACGGTGCTCGTGGTTTAAGAAAACTTTAAGTAGAGTGGAGTGAGGTGGTGCAAAGTGCAAACTCAGTGAGCAAAAATGACTCAGTCAGAGGATGTTCCTATGGGCTGGGCTTTGTGAGATATACGTGGCTCAGACTGTGACCTTCTCAGCTTCCTGTAATTCTAAAATCAATGATATCCCTATTTGGAAAATGAAACCCAGTTTAAAAAAAAAGGTGTGTAAAGGTGGGTGGAACTAGAATTGGGACAGTCCTTCTGGTGAGAGCCAGGCTCAGGCTGGAGAGCTGACATGTCACATTCTTTTCCCAGTCTCTGCAGCAACTTTCTACGAAAGCATGTTTTACTAGGGTGTTGGTAGTTTTCTTTGGCTGCAGACCAGGGAAATAGGTCTAGGTTACATCGCGTTGTCCTTTTTATTGACATTTCTGCTCTTCCCTCAGGACACGTATTATCTAAGTGCAGAAGAGTGCATCACAGCTGGAAACTTTCAGAACCAGCAGCCCAACATCTGTCGCCTTTCTCCAGATGGTCATTTTGGATCCAAGTTTGTCACAGTTGTGGCTACAGGTATAAACTGGCCTCGGCTTGCCCCGGCTCTCTTGGTTACACATGAATTATCTCTTGTTAATAGAAGAAGAATATGCAGCTCTGCCAGAAGTCGTCAGACATCCTGGTCCCCATCTGTCCTTTTTAACAAGGGTTTTGCCTTGCCCTGTCAAGTAATATACTTTTTTTGTTCTTTGTGCTATCTTCTCTACAATTATTTACCCTGTCCCCTGCAGGAAATTTAATTGAGGCTCAGACCTGGAGCATCCACCTCTCTGATCCAGAAAGCATTTTTTGCCTGCAGCCAGGGGAATAACTTGCTCACTTTTCTGTTTCAAATCTTTAAGCTCCAAATTCTGTTGCCTGAAAGCGGCAGTGCAGAACCACAGCAATCCAGATCCTGGCTGGTTCAGCATAAAGGAGGGACCTTTATCTCCCTTGTGTCGCTGTCAGGGAAACCCTTACGTAGGATGCTGTGCTCTTCCGCACACGGAAACATTTTTTTGTTTGTCTGAATAAAACGAAGAAGCCTGCAAAATGCTTTGCTTTGTCACCTCTGATTTTAGCCGTTTTCACAGCAAGTCTCCGGAGGCTCTGTGGAATAGTCGGCGCTGCCCAGGCTGCGAGGGGAGATGTTGGCATGTGCTGGGAGAGTTGTAGCGTTAGAAGTTCAATCTGCTGTTCTCCACGGGATGACACATGTATTCATTTAAAATTTCCCTGGAGCAGATACACTGCGTTCTGGGTCTATTTAACACACTGAAAAAAAACCTCATGACTTCCAAATAGCATCCAGTGTAAAAACTGAAAGTGTGATATTATATTGCCTCCTCGGAGCCCAGGTTTTGTAAGTGTTCCCGGGGCCTTTTTCAGTGAATATGTTCTCGTTCAGTTAACAGGCCTGTGCAATCAGACAGCTGCCCATACATTCCAGACTGCTAAACGCATCCATCTTTCATTAAAGATAGATGTGTATCTCGCTGACTCCTTTTTTTATTTATTTCTGTGTTTTTTAAACAAGGTGTTTTACTGAGAAAATGATGGCTAGCTTTGTTCAGGCCTTCCCCATGTCTTGGTCGATGTTTAATTTCTAGGAGTGTTTGTTCTGGAGCAGTGAGTGATTGAGGTTAGAGATCAAAGGGTAGAAAACGAATATTTCCTCTTTTCTGTTCCAGATAATTTCATTCTCTTCTGTTAAATCAGCCCATCAGGTTTCTATTTAAGCACTTGATTCCTTCCTTTTGTGCCGTATAAATATATCTGGATAGTTTGCATCAACTTTGCCTTTAAATCCTCTACATGGATTAGTTCCTATCCCCTCCTGAATTCCTAGGTTTGGAAATAGTAACGTTTTCCTACCATCTGTCTGTATCTTCTCTTTCCAGTTGTATTCTAATGACATATGACCCGATGTTGCTTACATTATCCAAATTAAAGCGCCAAGCATGTGATCTATCAGTGAGCCAGGGTCTTAATTTCCACTTTCCATGTCAGATTTCCACCAAGCCATCCATTACAGGCTGAGAAAACACTTTTTTCTTCTTACGCCTGACATTACTAGTTGACCAACCCTGAATCTGCAGCTCATGGTTCCTTGGAAATGAAACAGGCTCCCAGGAGCTGTGTGCCTGGTTCTTGTTTTGAAGGAGAGAAGATACCTGCAGGGTAGTGGGAGGGTGATGCTATCAGGAGCAGCTTCGCCTCCTTTAAGCTCTTGGCAAAGCACTCTTGCTGTCACTCCAGGGGTCTGTCCTGTTAGGTGAGCTGTGAAAATGTGTATTACTAAACAAATGTAGAATTTAGAGGGAATTCTTGCCCAGAAGTACTTCCCATGCAGCAGCACCAGTGGTTTCATCTCACCGTTCTTCACTGTTGGCAAGACCGTTGTGTTTAACATGGCTCTTCGAGTCGTGCCTCTCTGAGTTACGCTAGGCAAATCACCCTTGTGGGGGATTTTTAAGCAGCCTTTTCTCTTCCAGGTGGTCCCGACAACCAGGTCCACTTTGAGGGCTACCAGGTTTCGAATCAGTGCATGGCGCTGGTTCGAGATGAGTGTTTGCTGCCCTGCCGAGACGCACCGGAGCTGGGCTATGCCAAGGAGTCCAGCAGTGAGCAGTATGTGCCTGATGTGTTCTATAAGGTAAGGGCTGTGTGCCTGTGCGTGGGGGGAGCTGCAGAAACGGCTCTGCCGCGTGTCTGGAAATCAGTATGGCCAGCTCAGGAAAGGATGTCTTTGAGGTCTGAACTATTTTCAGTAGTTCAGTTCACCACATGTCTGCAAAGTAATTTCATAAGCTCCATTTCCCCCTCGTAAACATGCCGTTATGGTTTCCAGTGCAGCAGTAGCCATTGGCTATCCAGCTTCTAAATGAGGTCTGCAGTGATCCACTGAGAGCCCATAGCAAGTGCTCTGAATTTACCTCCTCTTCTGTATTTGTTGGCAGCATTTGCCATGCTTCTCTGTTGATTTTAATCCCTGGCTGAGTTCAGCGTTCTCCACTGCACAGCCATATGACGCGTGCTAGCACAAATGGCGCAGTGAAAATGGTGGGTTCCTTATGCAATGCCAGGGATTTGCTCATGTGTGACACGTTTACAGGCACCAACTGGGCAGCAGATGCAACAAAACATAGTATAGGTCATGCAGCAAGAGGAGGAACAGCCCTGTGCGTGCTTCTCTGCAACAAAAGGAAGGTACAAAGGCTTTCAGAGCAAGGGCAGGACTAGGGTGTGCTCCTGGCTTTCCCCTCTAGTGCTGGGGTTACTGCCTGCACCCAGGTCCTGTTCTTGGGTCAGACACTAAGCTCCAAAAACTGGTCCTGAGAAGCAGTGGAGGATACGTGCATCCAGAGTGGATCCAAAATACTCGGTGCATCATGCAAGAGCACTGCTGGTAACCTGTCTGCTGCGGTTTTCAGTACAGCTTGTTAGTGATGAATGGACTGTCATTATTCCCTTGACAGTTGTTTCTGGAGATCTTCAGCCCCCCTCTATCTGCAGGGCCGAATTAGAAACTTGGGGACAGAATCTCTGCGGAGGCTAATAGCACTGCTTCTCAAACTTGTGTATGTTGGTGCCCTGCGAGCAAGGACAGAGGAATTAATTAATGGCACTGCTTGCCAACTAATTAGCCATCCATCACCCAAGTTAGTTATCTCATTCTTGTCTGTGTCTGATATTCACAGCCCGCTCAGCCTGCAGCACTCCTGCTGCCTGTGTTAAAGCTGCCTGTTAAGGAGCATAGGATAAGCAAAGCTACCTTCATTTGGGATAACTGAAATGAGCCTATTGTGCACCAGCGGCAGAAACAGAGCTGGTCAAAGTGCTCTTGTATGCCATGAACCCGAGACCGGGAAATGCTGGCCTGGGTGAGTTAGCCCCTGAGACTCCATCTTCCCCCTCCACCCCTTAATGCTGAACTGCTGGCTTGTCTTGACACCACCTGAAAATGAGGAACACCTCTTGGCTAAATTCAGTGCTTGAGAGGAAAGGTAGATGGAATCCGTGCCTTTTTCCTTAGCACGCAGACAGCTTGCTCTTAGGAGCTGATAAGCCAGGTCCAATTTAGATACAGCGGAGCTCGTTTGTGCAAGGCTTGGCCCTGAATGCAAAGATGAGATCATCTCCTGGCGTGCTGCGGTCCTGCTCCAGAGGAGCCCGTGCTGTGCCACAGTCAGGGTGCAGCCTTGCAGGAGGTCCCGTAGGTCTGTGTCCCACATGTGGGCCACCCTGGGTGTTCGGGGTAGCAGGAAGCCGGTGGGTGTTCCCATAAGGTCTTCACTCACATTCGTAATCTGAAGCAGGGAGATAAACAAAATACAAACTGATGGCTCCAGCCTTCTGTGGAAATTTCCATGAACCACTGATTCGCTGGGTCGGGCTGCAGCTTATTTCATATGTTTTATAACTTCTATCCATAATTGCCTTTTTCATGATGTGCTCAAGGAAGGCTTGAAGACTGCTCTGGCGGGTGTAATTGTCCTTCAGACTTAAACGTGTTTGGCTGTAGGATCTCCTAATTTTTTTTGGAATGTTCTTAAATCAATGGAAAGCTTAGTCACTCCTGGCTTTGAAAATCTTTGGGGTCTCATTAAATGTGCAAGGCTTGAGGTCAGAGACACTACCTCATAGTTACTGGGTTGGTGACAGCAACGGTGTTGAAGCGTTGGTTAAATACGGTATGAGGAGCAAGCGTCCAATGCTTGGCCTCGCGGCAGAGGATAGCTGGCACGTAGTCCAGCACCCTGCTCCACCTTTCTGTGCTGAAACTGCAGGAGCCGAGCAGCTTTGTCCCCAGTCCTTGATGGGGGATTCCCCTCTGTGCTGCCCCCTCAGCTAGCTTTGGGCAGAAAGCTGCACTTTTAAGTAGTCGCTGCATTTTGTCTCGGATGAGAACCTATCACTAGTAGAGGGAAAAGTCCATCTATGTATTTCTATGTAATATGCAAGTATTCATTTGAAAAGCCCTTTAGGATGAAAGGAGCTATACAAATTTCTTCTAATTGGATGAGAACCAGAAGGCCAATGTCTGTGTAGTATAGATGTATTTACAGAGCAGCTATGCATCCAGATGCAAGGCAAAATCTGCTGAACTGTCCTATCTGTCTGCAGCAGGGTCAGGCAGTGGAAGATTCACCTTCGGCTTTGCGAATAGGAAAAGGTGCTGCTGTTTGCACCTCTAGTGAAGTGTGAGCCAATAACTGTACTTCAGTGACGTCGTTCAGAGAAGATGTCTTGTGCTTCCACTCGCAGTAGGTGTTGTTATTTCAGCGGTGACGGTTAAGAACTGCATTTGGATAGATACTGCTGCAGATGCAGGAAGGGTGTGAGGACCCGCGCTGCAGGCAGGAGAGCTGCGGCTTCAGGGACTTCGCTGCACAGGTGACGAGGTGCATGGAAAGAGAGGAACAGTTGTCTTTGGTCAGCGAGCTATTTTTCCATGGTTTGCACTGTATTTTGTGTTTGTGGAGTGGGAGAAGAGACTACCACATCCCCTGGGGCTGCAGCTGTTCCTGCCTGAACGTGACTCACCTCGATGGTGCGTTAGCATAGATGGGCTTTTCTTCCATGGAAATAGGAAAACTGATGGCACCAGCGTTGTCCTGCCTCAGGAGGCGAGGCGTTTTTCCTGAGCCTTTAGCCTTGTGATTTCTGTATTTCTTTACCATTCTCTTTATGTTGGCCACTAGCCCTGCTGCTTAGAGGAACCACCCCGGTGGAATTGGCAGTATGCACTTTCTACATGCGGCCGTTGCTTTCCTGGCTTGTGAAGGCTCTAGTTCCGCTCTAGCGTGAAAGTTGAGGGCTTTGGGGACCATGAGTACAAGTTACTTTGCTCTGAGATGCCTCTCCAGGTAAGATTAGCCAGAAGGAAGAGAACAACCCCCTTTGCCTCCTGGGTTGTCTGTGAAAGCAGACAGCGCAGCGGTGTTTCCCATTGGAACATTGCACAACCCACACTTGCTGCTTGGTGAGTTTGGTGTAATGAAACTCATGAAGGAGTCACCCTTGTCAAGACACAGGACACAAGTCGGGGTAACCGCTCTCTTTGTGAGTAAAGATGACAACGTTGCAATGGCCACTTCACCCTCAGCTGGGTGAGGGAGAGCTGAGCTGAATATTACATATGGGCATTTTCCATTCCCTGTCTTCTGCCCTCGAGCAGTCTCCTTTGTCCATCTGGTTCTAGAAAATAACCATATTGATTCTGATCTCACTAAAAATGTACCTTCCAAGCCGTGAGCTGATTATTCAGAGCTGAAGTTGCTCAGTGGTGCTCAGTGCCCCAGCCGGGAGTGATGCCTCCGGCTGGGCTGCCTGCACCCTGTGCCCGCGCTCCGCCTGCTCCCAGTTCCCTGCAGTCAGTCTGCCGAGCCCGTAACTTTGCAGCACGGCAGCAGTGCCTAACTGCTCCCCACAGACCTGCAGTGCTCTGCTCCACGGTTAACTTCATGGGCATCTCAACCTCCTGCCAAATGGGGGAAAGAGATTGCTGTGTTTTACAGACCCTTTGAAATACTTGAATAATTGGATTTTGGGACTGGCTGGCTTTGTCTCTTAACAAAGGTATTTGCCTCAGCTCAGTGCAAACATGAAGATGTCACCCTTGCAATGAATGGCGTTTTACAGCTGCCTTAATATTGCCCTGGAGTTTCTTTGGGATGGTGTAAGACGAAAGCTCTTCACAGTGGCACCCATGTTGTGAAAGAGCACTTTGCCCTCGTAGAGTCCTGCATGTGCTTTTGTGCATTTACAGCTGCTGAGACGGTGTCTGGGCCTTGGCTTGTCATCTGTTAAGTGTGGTCCCACCCGGCCCTGGGTGCCAGGGCACTGCTGCTTTTACTAGATCCGAGCGGGACCTCTGAGCCAGGCTGTCCCCAGTGTGGCACGCGTTGCTTCCACTCCATCGCTCTGAAAGCCTCTTCCCCTGGAAGACACAATAACCAGGCTGCGTGGAGACTTCTGCGGGGAGTTTTCACTAACAGCAAAGGACTTCCCCTGGCTGGCCTCCCACCAACAGTTCATGTTGGACTGGAAAAGCCTTCTTAGCCTTAAATGTCCCAGCTGCTCTGGGGAGGAGGATGCTTGATTAGCTCACGAGGAGTCTCCTGAGAAGGGTTTCAACTCTCACTGACCTATCACTTGCTCTTAGAAAAGTCGCTTCATTTCTGTGCGTCAGCTGCTCTATCTGCGCAGGGGGGCAGGACTGCCCAGTAAAGCGCTTCGAAATCAGCAGAGAGAGAGCAAGGCCGAGCTTGATTAACACACAGAAGGACAGACAGCTGCTCAGCTCCACGGTACCTTCAGCAGAGTGAGCCCGTGGGGAAGACTAACGGCGGCATGGAACGCTAACGGCTGTCCAGCCCTGGGATGCTGAGCCGGAGCCTCCCTCCTGGCCGACAGCTGGCCGAGCTCCTCGCTTGGCTGCTCCCCTCGCCCTCGTCTTGGAAATCCTGAAGCCACGCAGAAGCCTTTCCCGCTGCAGCCGTCCTGCAGTGCCGCAGAGGTGTGTGACGCGGCCGGCCGTGCTCCCTGTGGGCGCACCCATCCTCTTGCCTGTTTGACCTCATCCGTTTGCAGCTTCTGCCTCCAAACAGTGGTTTGAAAGGTTCTAATCGCAGCGCCTGACGCATTCTCCAGTTTGCTCCTGTCTTCGGGGTGATTCATTGTCCAAATCCTCCATGCCTTGCTGCTTGATCTTTGTCCAGCAGCCAAATACTTGCGCCTTCGTTAACCCCCTCCTGGCCTCCCCTTGGAGTGGTTGCCGTTGGGCGTTTGTGCCTTTGGGGGTATTGGGCTCCGGGGCTGCAGCAATAACGTGCTGAGAGGTGCTGCTGGGGCCTCAGCAACTGCCGAGTTCAGGATGAAGATGTCTTTCTCCCAACAGTTCTCCCAGCTTGACGTTTGTTAAGGCCTTTAAAATGTAATTGCCTAATAAAATGGTGCATAGGGGCTGGAGAGGAGTGCCGGCGTTGGGGTGGGGGGCTTTTCTATCTGGGGAGGGGCAGGGTTGGGACACGTCCTCGACTCGGTGGGGAGCGAGGTTCCGGTTTGGTAGTAACAGTCTAGTGCATGTCTTGAAGGCCTCAGCAGCATGACATTAAAAAGAAGGCATTTAACATGGAAATCCCCAGAGGCGGAGATTAAAGCGAACAGGTGCTGGAAAAATGTTTCTGCATATTAGAACTTAATTAGATTTGAAAATGAATTCCAGATGGGCTAATTATGTGTGAGTTGTTGCAGGTTCTTTCTTGCTGGGGCAGGATTGTGTTTGGGAAGCTGATTCGGTCTGATTGGATTGGATTCCTGACTCTTGCGGTATCACCGAGATCTAGAAGCAGGTTAGCTTTCAGGTCCTGTGATCTCCCTGAAAAGGCTCCGTGTCTCCTCCTGCTGCTGTCAGAGCCAGAGAGATCTGAGGCCACGAGCCACCAGGCTTGTTGCTGAAATAACCACAGGGCCAACAACCTGTCATGTTCAAGGAGAAAAGATCCTTATCAAAATTGCTTTTAAAAGGAGCTTCAAAGACTGAAAGGTAGATTTTTTTCTTTTTTTCTTTTTTTTTTTTTTTTAACAAAGGGAACCGTTTGTAGGGACAGAGGATGCTTGGGGAGGGGGCTTGGGAAGGGGGGCTGTTGCCTGGAGGGGAGCAGCCTGCCGGAGCCTGCTCGGGCGATGTCCGTCTGGGTGTACCGGGAGAGCAGAGCGTGAGAGCGGGGTGCTGGCTGCCGCACCACATATTTGTGCTGTGTAAATACTAGCGTAACCGAGAAATGCTGATAGCGAGGGAGTGGTATACTCCGGGAGAAAATACGGCTCGGGAGAGGAGGGCGGCAGCCGCGGGCAGCTCATTCTG